ATTAGGGATTCTTTCTGACTCTTTGATATAAAGCAGCACATCCTCTCCCACACACACAACTTCTAGCCCCAGCTTCCCCTCCTTGACCCTCTCAGTCTAGTGTATTGTTCATCAAAGCATTCTATCATCTTATGCATTTAACTCTTCATTGTCAGTCCACCAGAAGTTAAACTCTCCTGTAGAGCCCTTCAACACTGTACTCCAGGGCCATGTTGAATAGAGAAATCACCAACAAACCCCACAAAAATGCAAAACAAAACAAAAACATGACATTAAGTTGAGCACAAAAAGATACTTGTTTATGGTGTGAAAATTGAGACTAAAGACAGAGCATCACCCTGTTTGACCTCAGCTGAGAACACGCACAGTTGACTCAAATTTTATGCCACTTTCTGTATGTCCATAACTATGTCTGTGAGTATTGAGTTGAGGGTTCAAATAAATTTTAGCCAGGAGGCAAGTTTGCAATTATGAAATCTGTAAATAATGAGAATTGACTGGGTATGTATACACACATAGATGTGTACATATACACGTAGATGTGTTTGTATGCATTCTTTCTAAACGTGGTGTTTTTTAATTAGGTAATACATTCAACATGATTAAACAATTGGTATCATGAAAAGTTACAGTAAACAGTGGAAATTCTTGCTCCCACCCTTGTCTGCCTCTGCCCCTTTTCCCATCCCCTCTCACAGGTAGTCACTTTTAGCAAATCTTTAGGTATCTTTCTAGACTTTATTTTATGGAACTAGGAAAGAATGAATATGTATTCTTATTTCTTCTGATTTACATAAAACATAGTACATTTTCTTTGCTAACTGTAGTGATTTGATTTTTCCAAATTGCAACAAAGGGGGAGCTGGAGCAAGATTACAGAGTAAAGAGATCTCCTTAGCACCCACTCATGGTAAGACCGGGGAGAGAGGATTCCAGCCACCCCTGGTTGGGGTATTCTGCCCCGGAACATCACTCCATGGGCACAGTGAAACAGCAGGGGACTCCAGGAGCCAACAAGGAGGTCAGGAGCAGCAGAATACGGGCACAAAAGGTGAGTGCATGGACGTGGGCAGAGGCCGGTTGGCCCTTTGACAGAGGGCTAGAGATAGGGAACGCCTATTTTGCAGTTTTGTTTTTTTTTTCAGTTTAGTGATTTTTTTCACTTCAGTGATTTGGGAGGGATTAAGTAATCAAACTAACTTAAATGGCGCCTAGCAGCCAGGATTGAACTTCCCGGCAGGGTGGAGCACTAATCAGTTTGGCTGCTAGGGCCTTGTCTTTATGGGAGGGCTGCTCGGGAGGAATAGTCTGCAAGGTCCCCGCAGCTGGCTGACTCTGGGGTGCCTGCAGAGCATGGGCAGCCACTCCTGGGGTGAATTGGGCAGCTCACGCACCCCTGGGAAAGCTACTCTGTGGCCAAGTGGCAGTGTTTGGAAGGTCAGGGTGCTTCTCCTAAGAAGTCTGGCAAGAACCTCAGACTCCCAACCCTGTGAGAACTGAATGCTAATGAAGTGACCAAGCCCCGATTGAGGGCAAATAAATCAGGAAGATGGGGCCAGGTCTTCTCAGCAACTAAATAATGGCTTCCACTCCCCATCTTATACAGCAGAATCAGTGCATATGTTTTACTTCT